TGAATTCTAGTCCTACCTTAGGCCTGAAAGCTGACTGGGTGACTTTGACACCAGAAGATGCTGAATTCTAGTCCCTCTTTAGTCCCCAAAACTGGCTGGGTGACTTTGGGCCAGTTCCTCTCTCACAGGATTGTTATGGGGAAAATAGGAGGAGAAAAGTATACTGTGTGTCTTTGCCACCTTGAGTCATTTATAAAAAGATAATAGATAGAAATAAGTAAAAATAAAACCATATTCTGGTTTCGAGTGTATTTAATGTTTCCATAGTTCTGTTATGAATTTTTAAATCCATCATTATATGCGATGTTGGCAAAAATCATTGCCCAATAAGTAGAAAGAAGGATGCAAAAGCCGAGGGCACAATATCTCGGTCAATATATCCCTGTGCCCACCCATATCCTCTTTCACGCAGATCTCAAGTTTCTATGCATCCTTGCCTCTTGCAACGTCTCTAGGGGTCCCAACTTACCAAGGTGTGCCGCTTCATGTGCTCCCGCCGGGTGAATTTCTTCCCGCAAATTTCGCACGGGTAGGGTCGTTCTCCTGTGTGGGATCGCATGTGCCTCTTCAGGATGCACTGGTGCATGGCTGAGAAGCTGCAGTAGGGACACTTGAACTTCTTCCTGATGACCGTGAACTCATTTACTGAAAAGAAGCACAAGGCAATGCAGATTACAGCCCTCTCTTGAGGTTTGGAGTATGATTTGTAAAAATAAGGAGGGCAGGATACAAACAAACAATAAAATAGCCCATCTGATCATTTTTCAAAGAATCTCTGCAATGTCTCACAAACTGTCTGGATTTGGCTTCAGGAGGAAAAATTGTTAGCTTATCTTGCAAGCTTTCAACATTTTAAAGATAAGGTAACTTTATTGTCAATTGTTTTTACTATGAGCACACTGGTCCACATTAAAAATGAGATTCTGTTGCCTGCTCAACATTTTTATTTGTCTTGGTGACCATACTATATTTTGCAAGGAAGAAATTGGAACTGTATCTTAACTGCTTCCCCATTCAGGGAAAGGGCTAAAAGGGAAAAAAAAGTTTAAAAGACCCTTTGAGGCCAGGATATGGACCAACAGCTTTAACTACTTCAGCATCTCCTCTAGCAAAATCTGATCAATATTGCTTTATAAAATGTAACAGTTGTTTATACATGTCTGTTTGAGCATTCTGCGCTAGATGACCCATTATATAATGAGGCATCAAATAAGAACCTTTAATGAAAGACCATTTTAACAATTACAATAATTTCTGTAGATTTAAAATTACAGGTAATTGAACAAAAATATGGCTGTACATCTATAGGATATCTATTCCAGCTGGTGGGCATAGGTGTTCAAGGGGCAGGTTCAGCTAATTGTGGGGGAGGGGTAATTTAAATCAACATTTGTTCATTTAATGGAATGACACTGTCTTTCAAATGCAAGTTATTAATTTCAATAGAAATATCCCTAGCTGTGAAGTTCTTGATGCTGAACTTAGTTGTTTGCCTGCAGACATTTTATTATCCAGGTAAGTTACATTATCAGTGGTGGTGAGTGTGAGGTTAGCTGCAAGTAGCTTATACTGCCAATTTGGTAAGGGTGTAGTTTCCTCCTTGGGGATTCCTGGATTCTGCCTGATTTATTTCTTGTTATTGTTTTAGAGTTTCATTGTTTTTTTTCTCAGGTGCTTACATTATTTCTAAGTATTTTCTGGGCGTTTATATTATTTTCTGGAAATGAACAGGAAGATAATGGAAATAGTGCATAATTTTATGTTGCAAAGAAATTTATTTGATTCTGTCTGTTTTAGAATCTGGAATGACTCTCAGAGGTTTACATCTTAAAATAAATTTAGAACGGCCCTTCGAGGAACAATGTTAAGCAATACAATTGATTTAAAAAACAACCAACATGACAAAGTGATCAATAGGGCAATGTAACATTAAACTTCAAATGGCTCAAGAAAAAGCCCTGGAAAACTCTAATTGCCCCCATAGTTCTCACTTGTACATGCAATCCTCAATTTACAACCACAATTGACTCCAAATTTCTGTGGCTAAACAAGACAACTATTAAGCGAGTTTTGCCCCATTTTACAACCTTGTTTGCCACGATTTCTATGTAAATCACTGCAGTTGTTAAGTTGTTCCAAAGGTCCTTTTTTCAAGACTTTGTTTTTTCTTTGAAGACGTTTCGCTTCTCATCCAAGAAGCTTCTTCAGCTCTGTTAAGTGAATCTGGCATCCCCACTATCTCCGATAAACATTTACCCAAAAAGATGAAATATGTAACAATTCATATCCTAACTGCGGCCAGATTAGCGTTCGCCCAGTGTTGGAAATCACCCTATACACCTACAGAACAAATGGTCATCCAGAAAATATGTGATTGTGCAGAAATGGATAAATTAACTATAGCACTTAAAAACAAAGAGCCTTCAACATTTTACGATAATTGGAACTCTTGGTATAATTGGTTAGTCCAGAGATAAACTGCTTAATGGACAATGGGTAATTTAAGCATAGATATCGATAAGATGTGTGTATTCAAATTAAGGTAGGAGAATTGGATCTTGCAGACTGTCAAAAAGGATATTGTCTGTTTTTTATAAGTCACATTTTTCAATGCTGCTTTGTAACTCTGAATTTTGTAAATTTGAACAGTCACTAAATGAACTGTATTATATGTATAAATATTAACATGAATTTAGGATTGTTTCTTTAGTACATAATCAATTCATGT